GTGTCGCGGAAGTTGTAAACTGCTGTCGAACTTGCTGTGACCCCCTAGGAAAAGGTTATGCCCCGCCCTGTACTTCTCCAACTAGGAAGGATTTTGCAGGGCATATATTCAAGTAGTAAAGTGATAGGAAAAAAAGGCATTACATTTGCAATAGATGAGAAAGTATATTTAATTTGTGTGATTCAAAGAAAGAGAGAGAAAAACCTCACAAATCTATTGTGCGGTGTTTCCAGATGGTTAATCCAATATGCTGAATGAGACTCAGTCTGTGTGGGAGCCCAGGCAGGAAGGTTTTGAGTGTCCCAAGGGACCCTGGTCTTGCTCCAAAAACAGGAGCCAGGATTTCTCATTCCCAGCTCTGTCCCAAACGAACTGACTCACCGAGAAGAGGACTTTCCTCCCCCTTTCATTCCAAACAAAACACACAGGCAGCCAGATTTTGTTGGGAGTGCTTTATTTTACAAACGCTTCAAAATAATAATTTTTTTAAAAAAAAAAACCAGACACATGTATCTTGTGTATATATTTGCAGTACAAAGCAGAGCAATTAAGCATTGAGAGGGTGTGGAGATGTGCTTCGGGGCTTCTCCTGCTACTAAGGAGAAGTTTCAAGTTGGCACAGGAATCTTCCTTCTCCCTAATCACTCTTCAAAAGAAAGGTGGAGAGAAAAAGGAACAGCAATGGAGGGGCCAAGATCACAAGGGAGATCTAGTGTGGACAGCACACCAGAAAGACAACAAAACAAAGAGAAGAGCGACTCTATAGGGCGCTGGAGTTGCTCTATAGAAATAAACAAACTAGGGAAAGGAAGAGAACAGAGAGAGAGGGAAAAGAGGACATGAAACAACAGTTGCCCTCTGAAAGCAACTGTTGCCCTTTAATTCTGCACCATCACTTTCATGGAATAAAGGACAAGATTATTTACCTTGAGCCTCAGTTGGGCAAAGGAGGAGAGCTGCACATAGGACTGTTACAGCTGTTGCACGGAGCCTTATCTTCATGGCTGCTGTTGTGTATCACAACCACATGAATAATTCTAAAAAAAAGGAAAAGGAAAAATAGAGACTTAATACCGTGGGGTTTTTTTTTTTAAGCAGACGGAGTGGAGAAGAAAGGAAATCACGTGGCAAGGAGGGAAGGAAAGTTCAAGATCAGCTTTCCCCCATTTATGCACTCCAGAGTGGCAGGACCTTCCTTCATTCCCCTTACTCCACTCGAGTCGAAAAGAATGTTTTACATCACTTTCTTCACCATAGTCAACTTTCCCTTCCAGAAAAAAAATCTTCCTTTTCCCCCACTTCTTGCACCAAGTCAGAATTTTTCAACAAGGAACTTGCTCAACCTCACCAAAACTCATCACTGCTTGCTGTTCCAGATCTAGGAATAAATTGACAAATACATAGGTACACAGATAGTTCTTGCTTACCAACCAGCCATTCAGCAACTGTTCAAAGTTACAAGAGTGCTGAAAAAGATCAACCAGGCAACATCCCTACAATCACATGATTTGGGTGTTTCGCAACCAGTGCACCCATCCATCCATCTATCCATCCATCCATCCATCCATCTATCCATCTATCCAATCATGTTTTTAGATTGCCCCTCTGCCTTTCCCATTTATGATGGTTGCAGCTTCCCACGGTCTTATGATCAGAATTTGTGGTCCTCACAGACATCTTCCTATAAGCAAAGTCAATGGGGAAACCAGCGGGAAGTCACAAGTCATGATCATATGATCATGTGACATGTTACTTAGTGATCATGAATGATTTTCAGGATGAGTTAAAAAAAAAACATGCCTGGAAATGACACTGTAAGTTGGTGCATTCATGTCACGTTTCACTTTACAACTGTGTTGCTTAGCAATGGAGCTGCCAATTCCACTTGAAGTCAGTAAATGATCTTCTTCAGAAGAAATGATGNTTTGTTGAAATGTACAATAAGACAAGAAAAGAGAGCTGTGCTATTCCTACACCGGAAGACGCCAAGTACTTCCGCCCCTCGGCAATTTTTGTCCTGTCACACTATTAAGATGACTATACATTAAATCTCAAAAATTACCCATATATAGTGAACCTTGTCTTTTTGTGAAACTGCGGGGGTGACTGATAGTTCATCAGGCAAAGGAGAAAAACTCTTCGCTGCCAAATGTTGGCAGTAGATCACATCGCGAAAGCCCAGCGGAGAGAATGAAAAAAAAGGTACTGTGGAGACCACAGAAAACCATCAGGAGGCTGCGTGGTGTTTTCTTACGGATTGTCACTCTTACGGGTTGTGAAAATGGGCACCCAAAATGAATTGGGGGCCAGCCTTTTCATACGCAGCAGACTTCACCTCACAGATACTTTTTTCCATGCATGGAAAAATCCACAACGGAGCAAAATATTTCTTTGAAAGTTTTAGAGACACATATGACTGCTCTCCACCAGTTCCTGTCTTGCTGGGCCTCGTCTGCATATGCCAGTTTTTCATACATTTGCAAACGGAATCACTGTCCAAGGGCATTAACTGGGCGGTGGTTGGATGCTAAGGGGAAAACGGAATCTTTTAAATAATAAGAATTTTTAATTCTTATTATTACGGTCATAATTCTGACAACGTTTGCTTAAATGGGACAGATGGAGCTTGAGGGTTTTAAAAAAAATTGAGTACAGAATAAAGTACAAGTGACAAATTGGTTTATTTCTTCCCTCCCTCCAGCTAACACCCCACCCCGGTATTAGAAATACTTGCTAATGTGGGATCCTTGGTGCTCTCTGAGCTTGGTGGTTTTCTTGCAGACATGTTTTTACCAAACTAGGTAACATTGTCAGTCCTAGCTGTTAAGAAATATGAAATATAAATAGGAAGGAAGGAGGGAAGGAAGGAAGGAGGGAGGAAGGAAGGAAGGAGAGAGAGAGAGGGAAGCAAGGAAAGAAAGAAAGAAAAAGGAAGGATGGAATAAAGAGAAAGAAACAAAGACAGACAGACAGACAGAAAGAAAGAAAGAAAGAAAGAAAGAAAGAAAGAAAGAAAGAAAGAAAGAAAGAAAAAAGAAGAAAGAAGAGAGAGACGGAGGGAGGGAGAGAGAAAAAGAGAGAGAGAGAAAGAAAGCAAGAAAACAAGAAAAGAAGAAAGAAAGAAAGAAAGAAAGAAAGAAAGAAAGAAAAGGAAGGAATAAAGAAAAAGAAAGAAAATAGAAAGAAAAGAACATAGGGACGGAGGAAGGGAGATAGAAAGAGAGAGAGAAATCAAACAAGCAAGCAAGAAGGAAGGAAGGAATAAAAATAAATAAAGAAAGAAAGAACAAAGAGGTGGAGGGAGGGAGAGAGAAAGAGAGAGAGAGAAAGCAAGAAAACAAGCAAGAAAGAAAGAAACAAAGAAGGAAGGAAGGAAGGAATAAAGAAAAAGAAAGAGAAAGAAAGAACAGAGTGACAGAGGGAGGGAGAGGGAAAGGGAGAGAAATCAAGCAAGCAAGGAAGCAAGAAGAAAGGAAGGAAGGAAGAAATAATGAACGAACAGAGGGAGGGAGAGAGAGAGAGAGAGCAAGCAAGAAAGAAAGAAACAAAGAAGGAAGGAAGGAAGGAATAAAGAAAAAGAAAGAGAAAGAAAGAACAGAGTGACAGAGGGAGGGAGAGGGAAAGGGAGAGAAATCAAGCAAGCAAGGAAGCAAGAAGAAAGGAAGGAAGGAAGAAATAATGAACGAACAGTGGGAGGGAGAGAGAGAGAGAACAAGAAAGAAAGAAAGAAAGAAAGAAAGAAAGAAAGAAAGAAAGAAAGAAAGAAAGAAAGAAAGAAAGAAAGAAAGAAAGAAAGAATCCTCCTCCAGCGACCACCAGGGTCCCAGGTTTTTCCAAGTGTCATTTAAATCCCAGGGAAGATATTGCCAGAGTTATGGGCAGCAAGCAGAGAAAGGGTAAAAATTTGGGTGAAGCCATGATGCCAATAGACAGAGATGCATATCACATGTGGCTGCAACAGGTTTTCAAGAACATTTTCCTTTAAGTTTTCAAAGGGATTATGAAGAATACATAAATAAACCAATCTTAGTAGTTGACAAGTCTAAGAAAAAGTGCTGACTTTCTGTCTTTCTCATCACAATATGACGAAGGCTCACAATGCTAATTTTGGTAACTGTGATCAGAATAACAGACCAGCAGAGTTGGAAGGGGCCTTGGAGGTCTCCTAGTCCAGCCCCCTGCTAAAGCAAGAGACCTGATTCCAATCCCAGACCAGTGGCTGTCCAATCCCTTCTTGAAAACCTCCATTGATGAAGCACCCACAACTTCTGGAGGCAACTTCTGTCTCACTGGTTAATTGTTCTAACTGGGAAATGTCTCCTCAGTTCTAGGTTGATTCTCTCCTTGATTAGTTTCCATTCATTGCTTCTAGACCGGCCTTTGGGTGCTTTGGAGAATAGATAGTCTCAGTGGTGGGATTCAAATAATTTAACAACTGGTTCTCTGCCCTAATGACCGGCTGGGTGGGCATGGCTAGGGAGTGTGACAGGCAGCACTTGGCCTCCTGCGCGCGCGCGCGCGCACACACACACACACACACACACACACACACACGGAACAAAAATGGACTACAGAGGGCGCACACTCTTGCGCCCCAATTGACCGCGCAGAAGGAAAGATTGCGCCACTGAAAATCTGGCAATCCGGCCGCTGGATCAAGACCAGAGAAGAACGCAAGATTAAGGTGTGTTGACGTTTGGAGCCTCTTGGATTCTTACAGCTCAAATCAGGGCCAGTTTCATTCAATCATGTCTTCAAAACCGGATAAAAGGAGGAGGGAAAGGAACGGAATGCCAAGGCCGGGATTTTTGGGAAATGACTCTCCAAGGACCTGGGGAGGTTTCCTTGCTTAGATGAAATTTTAAGCAAACATTTTAAACTTGCTCTTCATTTCCTCTGCAGCTCCATTCATCTGCTCAGCCATGCTCAGATCCTAACTGGAGTTGAACAGCTGGATCATAAAACATTCAGCACCACTGGGTGCCAACAATTAGGACATTTTGCTCTTCTTTCCATTTTTTGGGGGAGGGTGGGGGGGTATTTTCCTAAGGATTTACTTTCAAAATACTGGTCTTATTCCAAGCAGTTCTCGACTTACAACGATTCATTTGGTGCCCATTCAAACTTGCAACGGCACTGAAAAAAATGACTTATGACCGCTTTTCACACTTATGACCATTGCAATCTCATGCTCATGTGGTCAAAATTCAGACCTTTGCCAAATGACCCATATTTATTTGAGTCACATGATCTCCTTTTGCAACCCTCTGACAAGCAAAATCAATGGGGAAGCCAGATTCAGTTAAGACCACTTTATAATGCCCTGGTAAGGCCACACTTGGAATACTGCATTCAGTTTTGATCGCCACGATGTAGAAAAGATGTGGAGACTCTGGAAAGAGTGCAGAGAAGGGCAACAAAGAGGATTAGGGGACTGGAGGCTAAAACATATGAGGAACAGTTGCAGGAACTGGGTATGTCTAGTTTAATAGAAAGAAGGACTAGGGGAGACATGATAGCAGTCTTCCAAAATCTCAGGGGTTGCCACAAAGAAGAGGAAGTCCAGCTATTCTCCAAAGCATCTG